AAACACTCCGCTACTATGAAGATAAAGGTAAAGTGCAGATCGTTCGGCAGCATGGTTTCTTTACTAGAATATAGATGAAAAAGGAGCTTACGATCCACCTGATGGTAAATGGATGCTGTGGCCCTTACACGTCCACATCTATCCTCTATTAAGAATGAAAATACACTCTCTTATCACTCCTGAGGACTAAGACGGAATGTTTCGTTTCCAATAAAATGGGTCTCCGGTTCTCTATACTGATCACACAGCAGCATTAAGGCGAACCAGTATCGTGGTCACGAGTGAGGAGCGGCGATATGCTCCTGTTTGGCCGGCCCGCGCGCAAATTTATTGCACGTCATTTATTTGATATTTCTTTTTAAAATGAAATATACTCTTTTATTGAAAAATAAGTCCATAATTCCCCCACGTATTTACTGGTGAACACAATTGCTTTAATACATTCGAATGAAACTGATTTTGCCGTAAATTTGTAGATTTTGAGGAAACTGCGATCTTTTTGTATCGAGCCAAAATGTGTCAATCGTGTTTTGGCCATCATAATTCACTAAGAAAATATTTAACTTTCGTAATTATTTAAAAAAAGGTGAATTTGTAGTTTTTAATGACAAAACATTGATTTTCTGCGCATATATAAAGCGTAAAAAATCTGCTTTTGGCGCCCGTTTCACCTTAAGCTGTTACTCCACGCTGCTATTCTGTGAAAGTGTGGTCTATCCCCGATCGAGCCAAGCATAATGGCTCTACCACGTATAAAATGACAAGCTGTTAAAATTATAAAATTAAGTAATATAAAACTTTTATGTGTGTTGACTTCATATTATAGGCTTTGGTTTAGGAAGCCTAATTTGAATCGTGTGTACCAAGTTTACGCAACTGAATACGAGCAGAGTGTAAAAAGTCATATATGACTAAAGTAAACAGAGGACTAAAAATCGCATCCTTTCAAAAAGGTGTACGTAAATATGGGGCTGCAGATGTCGGATGGCGACGTAGATTTCTGTTTCACAATACATAATATGTATGTACTATGTACTTCTATATTGTATTTCAGTTTTACATTAAGAGGCAACTTAAAATATACAAAAACGGTCTAGGGTTTTGTCTACGTTGTTAAATATTTCATTACTTCTGTAAGTTGGAGTTCAACTACTTTTGTGTTTCACTTTGAAGGGTAAGAGAGTTTAATGACTGTTGTTTGACTTGCAAAGGTAAAAGTGTTAAGGTTACTAGACGCTATTAAGTTAACTTAGTTCACGCCATTTTCAAATACTGTTTATAATATGCTAAAAAGCCATAAGATAATCTGTCGTACCATCTTGTTCTGTGGGTATCGTAAGATGACAGCTAGGAAATCTCATGGTTTCCGATAAGGTTTTTCAATCGATAAGGGTAGAGGTGCCCAAACTTCAAACAGATTATATCTAAAAAACATACAGCACCTATACAGTAGTTGGCGAAACTACTGTAATATTTTAATATGGCGTAAGGCTGTTTAAAGGCTCGAAACAGTATAAAAATTCCTTTCTAAATATAAAATGTCAATTTGAGACATTATTATTATTATCATCACCATCATTACAGCCTTTTACAATTCCACTGAACATTGATCACCTCCAAGAAATGCTACATAACATGCTCCTGAGTCACCTGAATCCATCGTTTTTCCAGGATGTCACGCCATCTATTGAAACATACTTTTAGTTTTTGTATTTTTTTTTGCTTTGTACTATTTTCTAAAAGGTAATAGTTTCGAAAATACCATATTCGAAATAAAAAACAGAAATCTTGCGGTCCTATTTCCAATGTTCAATATTTTTATTATTAAAATAGATATAATATACTATAGACGGTATAACAAAAATGTATAATACATTTACATATATTTATGAACATACATTTTTGAGATGATAAATTATATACACATTTTAATTGAATACCTTTTTGTACTCGCATTAAACCTTTTTTTTCTCTTATTATTAAACCATTGCTTGACTTCAATCGCACCTGGCGGTAAATGGCTATTTTTTTGCGCCCAGAAGCAAAGAAAGGGCTACCCTCCGGGAAGCAGGGTAGGGAGGTGGTGAATGCTCTAAGCATACCACGCAGCCGGCTGTGTGGTTATGTGAGACTCACTGAGAAACCTCAGTGTTCTACCCACTAAACACCACCTGTGTGACTGGTTTTAACCTGGTAAGATCTTTTAGCCGTATCGGAGGCGACCCCCCTTGTGGAAATGGGGCGTAGAAGTGGCGAGAAGCCCTAAATGGTAAGCTAACATTGTCTTAGCGCAACAAAACGCTATGCACACTTGCCTTGAAGCTGCGATAAGTATATTATAATATATAAAATCTTAGTGTCAATGTAATAGTTCGATTCTGTACCTATCAATTTTATAAACGCGTCCTTAAGTAGGTAAACTCATAAAAAACATAGTGATATTGTAAATATAAGTTATTAAGATGCTCAATGAGTAATAACTAAACATTCAATAAGTCCACTGCTGAGAGTTTTTTTTTTGCGAACCACCACTGGGTAATGAAAAAAAGTGACTTTCAATGCGTTTTATTTATAATCCATATTGAATAAAAGTGACTTTCAATTCCTTTTATTTATAATCCATATTGAATAAAAAAGTTTCTGTTTCTGTTTCTGCTGGACATAGGCTTCCCTCGTAGATTGGTTCATCGAACGGATTTTGCCATAGTTACTAAGTTATGGCAGGCGGATTTAGCGAATACAGATTTTTAAATATTGCATTGTCATCGTGTTTCAGGTTCCCCTGTCACCTCTAATGACACTTACGGGACGGCAACATAAAAAAAAAACGGCTAAGTGGTTAGTGGAATCTCTTACGCCGCCACTACCCAGCGCAAATTCTCTGATGTTTTTATTTAATTTTTTTATAATTTTCGCGTTTTAACTTATACGTTATTATAAACTCAGATTTATTCGGACGTCCAATAACGAATTAGAGTATTTCCATTAGGTAAATAGATTTTAAGTAACCTTTCGTGGGATGTGTAAACTTTAAATTCGTGCTTGAATGAATATGTGCAAGTCATTCAAAATTCACACGTTTCTGCTTGTAATGAATATTAAAAAATTATTAGTTTCTTTTTCTTTTGTAATTTTTATACACGGTTTTTAATTTATATGCTCTAAATCCTAGCCCCCTGGCCACACGCACGTCGAGTGGTAGTAGGCGAGGAAAGGAGGCAGAAATCGGTATCGGGAAAATGGTTGGCAATATGAGCGCGAGTAGCTGACCACACACTCGCACTAACGCAGTCCGAGTCGAGCGCTCGGTACGAAAAGCACTCGGCTTCAGCACTCAGCTCAGCACTTCAGCCATATTATCACATGAGTAAATAATATACAGAGAAAAAGCTATCTCGACGACGACAATGTATATTTGTTTTTAAGAAATTAATATAATTAGCTATAATAAATACGCATAGCTCGCACGCTGCAACGGTTTCAACATCCATTGTGTTGCAAACGCGAGCGATCTAGTGCGGAGCGTCGCGGTTGATTGCGCGAGTAGAGTACGACGATTTTTATTTTTTATGCGGATATTAGCTATATATAGTTTTTAACATCTTTTATCTTATTTTTTAACATTCTTAATGGATTTCCGCAAGGTAACGCCTAATTCTATTAATTATTTCACGTCTGGCGTAAATGTGATGATTTAAACCCCATTTTTTGGAAGTCACAATCTTTCTGGTACATGCTAACTACTAGTATGCTCTGTAGGTAATTATAGAGAAAACATTTTGAGGGCGTACTTAACTGAATATTACGAAGATATACAACCTGTGCAGGCTTTACCTTGTTTTGACACGATTTCAGCGAGTTTGTTGAGATGTGCTCACACAGAATTACCAACATTCGAGCACCGAGTCTCACTGCTATGTTCAAAGCTTTGGCATTGCCTTTGATTTTGTCTTTGAGTGCGCTAAGCCTATTCGCGTTCGTAAAAAGGATTTTGTATATCAGCGTGAAACTACTTGTAACGCTCCGATCTTTTGGGTGCGTGGTGGTTAGTATCACGCGATTGATTAGGTGTTTGTGCGTGTGTGTGTTTTTGTATACGTTGAATTATTAATTGACTATTGAATTATGGTGAATAGATGCATAATTTGAAACGTCTAGGTATTGTTTTATAGAAAGTCTGTGCTGTGTACCATCTGTAAAAAATAAATAGGCTGTATTTATTCCGCTGGGAACAGGTTCTTCCCATTTTTTCTGAGATGGTTTAAGGCGCAGGCAGGAGTCCGTTATACTGTCAAACATGTTAGAGAAGTGAGACCCTATGACTATAGACCAGTGCGTATCCCTAATGCCGACCAGTTTCGAGGAATCGTCAGAAACACGTGGACTATTCATTCGATAATTAGTGACCTTGATGTGATGGCTTCAGGCCATAAATGCTTGTGGCGCGACAACAGCACCGCTACAGTCGTCCCCAATCGCAGAAGGCAAAGACCTTATTAGACATATTAGTGTTTTCTAAATAAAACAACTTAATTTAAAGTTCTAATTAAACGACTTAAAATAGAAGTAAAATGTAATGAAATATTAAAGGTACCAGTTGGTAGTAAAATCAGTACTACTGAACCTGGAATTGGAACCTTCCCATAAAGACTACTGGACTCAGGACTTTCCATTTCCTTTAAATATTGTATATTTCTCAGGCATGCATGTCTTACGATGTTTTCCTTTACTACCGAGGAAGTATTTTGAGTTTAACCCTTTATAAGGCAGTGGGCTTATATGCTCCACCAATTTTTCATCCAAATAATTTGAGTTTCGATCATTAGTACGACTTTTGCTTCCTACTAAGGGCAACATTGGTTCATATTACGTCAAAAAACGTCTGCCATATATATTTTCACTGACAGCTGTCACTTTGCTGTCAACAAGTAGCGCGTGAGTTGGGTATTTTCGCTCGTGAAAAATTAATCTAGTGGAATCTTCGAAAATATTTTAAAAAAATGGTAAGAAATGATTTTAATGTATTACTTAGTGTTTATAATTGCTGTAACGAACAAAATTTTTTACGTTATTATCTAAAATTATGGACTATTTTATTTTTTCTTGGTGGCCGCATGTGGCCCTTGGCCCATTCGGCATATATCTGGTGGCCGTATTTGGCCATCTGCCTGCTCGGCGACTGCGAAAACGAAAAATTCTATTGACCTATTGTTATGTTTATTTTTATTTTTAGGCGGCACTTAGAGATGAAGACATTGAAAAAGAGCTGGAAATGATGTTTGGACTCCCGGAAGATCCTGATGATTCCGAAGATGGATATGAAGCGGACGATCCAGATACTAATTTGAATTTAACTCGTGTCTTTGAGGATGAAGACTTATTTGAACATCAAGGAAGCAGTGCATCAGGACCGGGCTTAGTTCCAAGCCCAATTCCCGGTACATCTTTGGACGAGAATTGGGAAAATGTCAGTCCAAATATTGAACGATTTGAACGCCAGTCTCAAGACAGTCCCATTCGCGCGGCCCGATACGTCGTCGTCGTGTTCTCTCTTCAGAATCCTCGTCGTCCTCGGAAAACGAATCACAGAGTGAAACCTCAGCAGATGATGGTAACGACGACGAATGGAAAAAAGTCATGTGGTCAGCTGAGAGTAGACCTAAAGCTGAAGACTACGATCGGATACCACTGAAAGCGAAAGATTTCTTTCCAAGCAGGACAGCGCCGATCGTATATTTTTTTCAGGCGAGGTAATCAATCATATGGTTGAGCAAACGAACTTATATGCAGCCCAGAAAAAGAGTATGAATTGGGAACCAGTGACGAGTGCTGATATAAAAAGCCTTTATTGGAATGATTATAATTATGGGCCTCCATGTTTTACCCTCCATCGATTTATACTGGTCTAGTGACCCGTTGTTTAGAGTAAATGAGGTGGCAGAAATAATGACCTGTAAAAGGTTTAAAAAATATTGGAAAACCTTCATCTTAATGATAATTCCCAAATCCCTTCTAAATCAAATCCAGACTACGACAAACTATATAAAGTTCGCCCGTTACTGAAAATGCTGAACACAGCTTGCAAAAATGAGGCTAGAACATCCACATCACAAAGTATCGACGAGGCAATGATTAGATTCAAAGGAATTTCGTCTTTGAAGCAGTATATGCCAGCAAAACCCATAAAGAGAGGTTTTAAAGTTTGGGTTAGGGCAGATAGGTCTACTGAATACGTCTATGAATTTCAAATTTATACAGGCAAAAATGACGACAGTACACCTGAGTTCGGTCTAGGATCAAATGTGGTAAAATCTTTGTCAAAAAGCCTGATAGAAGAAGAGGTTACTGTTCATTTAGCATTTGATAACTTCTTTGCTTCGTATCCACTAATGCAATACCTTTATGAAAAAGGGATTTACTCCACAGCAACAGTAAATTTGAACAGAGCGGATTTACCAAAGTTTATGAAACCCATCAAAAATGATAAAAAGAAAGAAAAAGAACGGAAAGAGAAACTAAAACTTACAAGAGGACAATATATATGGAGAATGAAAAATGACGTAGCATTCATGGTTTGGAAAGACACGAAAAATGTGCATTTTTTAAGTAAGGTGCATCAGGGAAAGATCGTACAAGGGCTAAGATCGTAGGAATTATATTACCGCTGCATTTGGCAATATTTTTAACTGTTGACAACGTAGCGTTACGCGGCATTTTGTTGTGCCCGTCCCATTGGTCTGCGTCTAGCGCTACGCCAAGCCGGACGGGTGTTTTAATGATCTAAGTGAAGTTATAGACTAGACGTGCTTTTTGAGAAGATCCGATCTTACCCCAAGGAATTTTCACAGACAATTTGGTAAGTAGTTTTAATTTTTTTACTAGTTTCGTAATTGTTTATTAATGAGCGTTATATGACGGTTTAATTAGATAATTGAAATCACGCTGAAGACGTTTGCGGGCCGAAATCCGATCTTACCCCTCGAAAATATCAATAGGTAAAGATCGGACTAAAAAAAATCGGTCTATACCGTTAAAGTGCTTCTCAAACTTTTTTTAATCTATATTTTACACTACTGGGTCAAGGTCCCTCCAATTCGATATATGCACTTATAGTATTTTTTTGGGTATTGCTTTTATATTTTTATTTACTCGGTAGGACTATTTTGAGCAACTGTTGTTAATATTTTTTTCTAATGGGTAGTTATTTATTACCAAATTTTCAGTTTTGCTGATAATGATCGAAAAGGAGACCTAAAATTTTGATGTAAAAGGACAGTAATAATATAACACCAACATTCAATATTTATTGTTTAATAGTTAGTTACGCTGGAAAGGGAAAGACAAGACATCGAAATTATGACTGCTTTGTGACGACATTAGCAAAGAGTTTGCAAAGTTATTTAAATACCAGGGATCCACCCTGGTTTCACACGGGTGATTTCTGGATTTCAACAACAGCGCCACCTACTGGGCCCTGTGAATCTTAACCATTCTCGAATTAACTTAATTACACACACAAATATTCAAAGCCATTTGAAGGAGATCAGTTACATATACACGGTCAATAAATTAAAAACACAGAGATGACTATTTAATACTCATATATTTTAATATATGATATTTTAAATATAAACACAATACATGAAAATAATTTTAAATAGGTACCAAATTCCTCCAATTTTTTCGGTCACATGCTGCTTCCCACCAGTCTTCCCGAAAGTTTCCGAAATAAAAATATTTTGCAACAAAATTTTTATTTTTTACAGATTCGCCATGCCTAAAACTACAGCCGAACATCACAAAGAGCAATTGCGTACTCGCAAAAAGACTTGGAAACTGCTGTAGAAAAAGTAAGAAAAAAAGAATTAACTAACTATGCTGCATCAAAACTTTACGGGATTCCAGCATCTACCCTTAGTGATCGAGTTAATGGTAAAACAGGTTTAAAAAGTCGTACCCTAGGAAGATCACCTGCTATACCTTTAGATATAGAAACCAAACTAGCATCAGGTCTACGTACAATGGAAAAAATGGGGTTGGGGCTTATCTAAATCTGAAGTGATTGACATAGTGTCAGAGTTTATAAAGAGAAATAAAATAAAAACTGCATTCATAAATGATATACCAGGGAACGATTGGTTTCTTTCGTTCCGAAAGCGGCACAAGCTATCCATTAAAAAACCTCAACCAATAGAGTACCTCCGAAAACGCATGACAGATCCTTTTGTAATACACGAATATTTCACTTTACTAGGAAGCACCCTTGAGAAGTTGAACCTAAACAACCCGCATAGGATTTGGAATTTAGACGAGACCTCTGTATGTTTAGATCCAACAAAAACGAAAGTTGTTGGCGCAGTAGGCGCACCATGCACAAGGACAACGGCTGGATCTGCAAAAGAAAATATCACCGTGTTAACGACTGTCAACGCGGTTGGCATCAAATTGAATCCTTTAATTGTATTTAAAGGGAGCTACGTATATGACCAATGGATGGCAGATCAAAATGAAGAATATGATTTTGAAGTTGCTTATTCTTCTAGCAAACGCGGTTGGATGGAGACCGAAATATTTTATAATTACATGGTTAAGGTCATAATTCCAAGTTTAGGAGAAGAAAGACCATTGCTCTTAATTTACGATGGTCATAGCACCCACGTTGACGAACGAGTCGTAGCATTAGCAGCAGAAAACATCATAACCATTTTAAAACTGCCTACTCATACATCTCACTTGCTACAACCTTTAGACTTAGCGGTCTTCAAGTCATTTAAAAGTATTTGGGACAAAAAACTTGTGGAATGGCAACGCCAAAATGTCGGATTTAAAATACGTAAGAAAGAGTTTGCTGAAATGTTTGCACAAGCATGGAGTCAAACAACGCCAAAAGTGATTCCAAATGGCTTTATGAAAGGAGGTATTTACCCGTTTGACCCAAATGTTGTACCAAAAGAAAAAGATGACTCAGCGGCTTATAAAAGATAGCAAAATGAAATGATATATAAAGGTGGGCAAAGAAATTTAGCAAAACTCAAATCGCTGAATCAGTCATGTATAGACGTCTTAAACAAAGAAATGAAGATTGATCGTAAACTTCAGGACATTATTCACGTTAGCGCTGAAAATCGTGCAGAGTCGGTGAATTACGGTATTTCTTTTGAGGAACTGCTTTTAAAAAAAGGTTACGCAAAAACCACAAAACTCAAGAGTCAAAATGAAACGTATAGCAAAAGGAGCGGAAGTTATAACACACACATATTTGGAGAAAAAAAACGTAAAAAAAATTAGATCACAGTAGAAAAAGAACCACAAATTCAAAATTCAGAATCAAACTCCCATGTACACATTGATGATCATCAAGAACGTGGACCATCGGGAATATCAAAAGAAAAGTGTTCGATTAAGGTAAAAAATAATAAGCCTAAGAATCTTACAAAGAATAAAAAAAGAAAAAAACAGCAAAAACACGAAGTCAAAATCTGGGATGAAAAAAAGGAGTAAATAAAAAATGTTTAACAAATAACGCATCTACAGAAGTCTTAGATCTTTACAATAAACAAATTGTACCAAACGAGAACTCTCCAACTCAACGAATCAATATTAAGACTGAAGGTTGTTTGAAGAAAGGTATTCTCAAACAAAAAAGAAAACCTTTAAAAAGACAAGCCGAAAACTTGCAGAGGTCTTTAAGCACGACGTCTGAAAGCTGTGAAATGAGCTCACACAGTGATTCTGATTTACAAGGCATATTAAGTGATAATTCGAAATTTGTCATGTCTGATTGGTCGGACATAGATGATGAAAACCAAAGAAAAAACACTGATCTAGATTTATTAAAGACATCAGACATTGACATAATAAAAGCATTACAGATTGATGATATAATGGAGTTGACAGACACTGAAAATGGCCAAAAAAAGAAGCATTCAACGAAAAATGATAGAACACAAAGAAGCATAAATAACGATCTGAAGATGAATGATAATCCACAAAAAGAAAAAAAAATTAAGTGATGAGACAAAATATACAGAACTTAATAATAATAAAGTCACTGTTCTGTCATCAGTTCGATTCACACCTGAAAACCGACTTTTCATTGGTTTAAAAACTTGTGCAACCTTAAAACTTGAACCTGTGGATAAACAGTTTGATTTAAGTTCGAACCTAAAGCGTAAAGATTTACAAGGGGAATCTTTAGATAAAGAAAACACGCCAGTGAAAAGATTAAGAACTCCTGCAATGAAAGTAAAGAGTAATGATAAGGAGTTAATCAAAATCAAAAAACCACAGATTAGTGTAAAATTTGAATCTTCAAACAAAACAGCATATGACATGAAGAACAAAACCGAAAAACGACAAAATAAGGTAGGTACATCACAGACAGACGACTTCGAAAGCAAGGTAAGAGAATACGAAAGCTTGCTTTGTGAAAATGATAAAAAAGTGAAGAAGAATGAGTACAAAACTGGAGATACCGTCTTAACGCGTTATTATACTAAATCTTGGAAATACTATGTTGGTGTGATTGAAAATGCTTATTTGGCTACAAAAAAATACACTATAAATTATTACAAAACTATCGGCAGGAAAGGAAATGTTAAATTTGTTGTTCCTAAACGAAAAGATCAAGACTGCGTACCTGAAGTTTCAATCGTTAAAGAAATTGAACTGCTTCAGATAAATGAAGACCCCGATGAGTATGTGCTAATGAACGACAGTGACGAGATTTATTTCTAAAATATTTCACTAGGTACAGTGCATCTAAAAAAATAATGAATGTGGCCGAAAAAACAAAGCTGTGTTGGGAAAGGTTGAAACTCAATTTGTTGTGAATGTGTATTACTGCTAGTGCCTTCACTCACGTTCATTATAACCCTTGTCGCAATGTAATGAATACTTTTTGCTAAAAATAATTTACTTATAGAGAAACATATTGATTTTATAATAACTTTATTAAAAATACAAATGTTTAAAAATGTAAGTTTATTTACGAACGTTACATACACGATACCAAATATAAATAAGTGATGCTATGTTTTTGTTCTGAATGTTTTCATAGTATATTTGATTGTTTTTATATTTTTGTAAGTGTTCCAGGGTCACCCACGAAATTCAAATTTTCTTAAGCATTTTTTTTTTGCAAATTTCAGCTCATTTAGTTCCCGTTGATAAAAATACGCGAGTATGGCAGCAATGTTTTTAATCGTACAATCAATGTGGCTCTGAAAGTTTTGATTAGTTACAAATATGATTGGTTCAATAAAAAAGTACTTTTGGAACCACTTTCAACACTTTAGCAAGCATTTCAGCCATTTCGATTATTTTCATGATTCTTAATGAGTAAATGAATATCTAAAGGCGCAACATTTCCTTACACTAAAATCCCTCTCAGAAATGAGAGGAGGCCTGTGCTCATCAGTGGGACGTAAATAGGCTGTAACTTAAATAAATACCTAAAGGAGGTACAATTTTACCCTCGAATCACATTTTAATTAAACCATGAAAATTGAATTGTGTGAGCCACCCTGAAACATATAAACAGGTATTTAATAAAATTAATATTATTTTTTTATAGTCAAAGATTAGTTAAATTGCAAGTTTCATTAAGATGAAACTTATTAATTTTTTTCAACCTGTTAACATGACTAGTATCAAAAGACTGCATATATCAATAATTTGGATAATATTTAATTATGTGTGCTTAGAAGATAGCTACGTCAATACCTACTTTAACGCTTATTCTATTTGAAATTAATAAATGTCGTTTATCTATTATGAAATATTCTTTTAATATCTTCAATCTCAAAGAACTGACTTCCATCTAAATATTAAAAATATATTAATAATTGATTCATAAGTATATAATAATAAATAAGTACGAAGTTAAGTATTGGTAGTAGAATCAGCTAAATGAGAAATTGAGCAGCAAGTTAAATTATACCTTACATAATAAATAGGTATCATACGAATTTAATGAGCACTTTGGCACGTAAAAGTTTGAGAAACATAAAACCTCTGAATTTGCCTATGCGGGGTAAGATCGGACGTAAATACATATAAAACCTTTACTAGTACTCAATTTTGAAGGAATTTTTAGAAAACCCTTCAATATGTTTTTACTTGGATAAGATCGAATGTTTTCTTGTTATAGAGCTTACTCTTATTGTTATAGTGATGGTTTTAGGAAGTAGTCCGGTCTTACCCCATCAAGGTCCGAACTTTCCCTCGATATTTTGAATAGTTAGGTTATCTTTTATCATTTATAAAACTCCAATGCTTGTGGTTACGAAAACATCACAAATAGAAAACGAAAGCCTTGCTTATTTGCATACTATTAGATATTATTGAATTATTAGAGAGTAAATAGAGACGAGAAAAAAAATAATATTCCGAGACCATTTTAGTTTTCAGAAAAACCGTCCGATCTTACCCTGATGCACCTTACAGCATTTCACCCTAAACAAAAAACCGAGTGTCAAAGAACTATGAAAGATGGTTCCAAGAAAAAAATCCCCTGTCCTCTGGCAGCGGCTGAGTACACAAAGAGGATGGGAGGGGTGGATAGGTTTGACCAAAAACGTGGTTCCTATGAAGTTGGTCGCCGAAACAGACGTTGGTGGTGTCGAATCTTTTATTTTTTGATTGACTTAGCTATCACTAACGCGTACATATTGTACTTGACTTCGAGTAGAAATCCAGTAAAGCTGACAAATTTGCAATTTCGCGTAATGTTAGCCAGGTCACTTATCAGCGACTACTCGTCGAGAAAAAGGAGCTTAGGTAGCGCACCTAATTTTGTCGCCAAGAAGAATCGCGTCGCGGTCAGTCCTCACTATCAAAAACCTGTAGGAGTTCCTGATGATATCCGATACAAAGACGTCGGAATACACCTCATTGACAAGTCTAACACGCGGTACAGGTGCCGTTTGTGCAGTACTAAGACAAATAACAAAAAAACCTATTTCTCCTGCACGACATGCAAGGTATTTCTTTGCGCTTATCCCTGTTTCAGTCAATTTCATCAGAAACCTTAAAAATCAATTCAGTTTTTGTAATTGTATTCAAGTAATTATAAGAGCCAAAGTTGATTGATCTCAAAAAAATAAACCTAATTATAAGCAAGTATAGAGTTAGAGAAAAGCATTCCTATATTTAGTAAACTGAAGATATTTAAGTTTGAAGACATCTATTGTCCCTTTTTAATAATATTTGTGATTTTAAGTAAATAAATATATTGTAACAAACTACATTGTCTTTAATTTACTTAAATTATGCCACTTTACTACTACCTCGGATGGGCAGAGGGACATATTGTGCCACCAATTTTGCCGTTTATTTTCCGAAGATTTTCCGAACTGAAAAACTCGCAAAAATGCTTATATGTGTGTCCTTAACAACATACTAAAATTTCATTTTCGAACCTTTTCTGGTTCTCTCTGCCTTATAAAGGGTTAAGTTTTCAGTGTGTTTAGTTTAGTTAATATAACCTCCTATTATTGATATGCTTGAATATATGCTTAGCCGCCATATTTTCAGAATGAAACATGACGTATCTGTATTAAAAACCTCACGGCAATATTAGAAGTCTTTATGTTAGGGTTAACATTACCTTTTCGAACATTTTTATTTTATGATAATTTTGTCACTTATCGGTATTATAAAACATAAGAAAACTCACTCGGGTTGCTCGAAATGACTTAGCATGCTAGAGAGGTGTGTGCTCGGTGTGAGGTATGTGCTCGGGGTTTCTCTGCGTGATAGATCAATTTCAACTGAATTTTTTTGTTTATTTTGCGTAGATTAAATGTATATTCAAGCTTCGTTTATTACAAAGTCGAAAAGACAAAGAGGTACAACCGTATCTCATTTTAATTGTTGTATGCAACGCTTAAGGAATGACAAAATCAGTTATTTTAATTGAGTAAGTAACATTGAATTAGAAAATAATAGGCATGTACTCTTAAGCAGAGCATAAGGCACGATGG